TTAGTCTTTCCCGACTTCATGGGTGAGGATTCAGGCTACCTTAAATGGTGGTTCAGGTCTAAAGTAAGGGTTGCGAAAGCTATCAATCCAGAATGACAAGGGAAGTTGAGGAGACAAGTTCCAGCAGTCTCGCAACATGCCTAACATTTGCTATGTCTGCCGTGCTATCAAGTATTTCCATTGTTGTTTGCTTGAAGTCGTTCGAGAAGGTCCTCCGGTCTTTGTCTTCAACTTTCAAGCGGGGAAGGTTACGTACGTGTAGAATGGGTGGGTCAACTTCGCCCTCCACTGGCCAGCGTATTGTAGCTAACGGCAGTTAAATTCGTCCTCAGACTTGAGTTCTACAAGCATCTCACCGTTATTGGAGAATGCTCACCGACAAAAATTCCGAGCGATAGCTGGCACGGAAGAACATGCGGTATATTTTACACCGAGCTTCGGGTGGGAGTTTGAGGAAGGGAAAGGAGAAGTCTTGAGGGAACGGTATCGGAGTTGAGATGTTGGATTTGGGCTCTGTGGGAATTAGAGGCGGAGGGGGTGGTCGCGCTTCAGGTGCGCATCCCATTTTGATCTTGAGCTTACTTCAGCACTTTCAATTTGACGATGGGCAAGAAAGAAGGCGCTATTATAGAACGATGTCTTGGGATGTTTCTTGAAATCTTACGGAGTGTTGTTGAAGCCCTGCTGATGGCCAGGCGAGTGCACTGTCACAACAAACCACACCCTGTTAAGTGTTGCACCAAGTCTGAGAATTTGCACCTATGAAAATCTCATGATTGTATTTGTTGGTACAGGACGAGCAACAAGAGAGTAAAAGTTTGTGTCAAATTTTGTCCATATGGGTAATTCCACTTGTCACGCCATACCCCAGGCGGCGCGAGAAGTACCTTGCCGAGGGTACTAGTTCTAGTATCCCCGAGGTTTTAGCGCTTCTGCCTAACCTGCCTTTGCCCTTGGAGTAACATCTTTCACGTTCGATCGTAACCTATCTCAAGATCCACTTTCCAGTTCTCAATTTCAAGTCCCCATTTGCGATCACTTCCAGGTCAACAGTCCCCGGTACTCATTCAAATGGCGCTTCAAGTCAAAGGAAAGACTGCGTTAGTCACAGGTGGTGGATCCGGCATCTGCCTGGAGTTCACAAAGCTGCTACTGTCAAAGGGCTGCAATGTTGTCGTTGCCGACCTCACCTTGCTACCAGAAGCCGAAACTGTTGTGACAGGGGACCCTGGCTCAGAAAGGGCCACAGCTGCTTTTATCAAGACAGACGTCACCGATTGGAAGCAATTGAAGGCTGCATTTGAATTTGCTATTGAGAAGTTCAAAGTCCTGGATATCGTGTGCCCAGGGGCTGGAGTGTTCGAGCCAGTAGGTTCCTCCTGCCCTGATAATTGATTATCTCCGTCTGTAAAGATGGTTAAGCTTTGAGTCAGCTTTGAATCCTAACTAACACCAAACAGGCGTGGTCGAACTTCTGGCACCTGGACGATGGCGTCGACAACGATTCGACGTCATCTTTCAAGACTTTCGATATCAACATCAACCATCCAGTTCGTGCCACCCAGCTGGCTATCGACTCGTTCATGCGCCAGAAGCTGGGCCATGGGGTAGTTGTAATTATCTCCTCGACTGCTGCGCAAACGGCCTTCCTGCCCACTCCTATGTATGTAGCCAGCAAGCACGCCATATCCGACTTCACACGCGCGTTCGCAGATCTCGAGCCCAAACTCAATATTCGCGTGAACGCCGTTGCTCCAGGGCGTGTGAAGACGCCTTTGTGGACGCAGGATAAGTTGACTTGGATCAATGAAAATTTCGACCGGTGGGTGACACCAAAGCAGGTCGCGGATGTGATGCTTGATCTCATCACGAATGAGAAGAATGTAGGAGGGACTATTTTGGAAGTCGGAACTGATCCTGTCAGAGCCGTGCAGAGGATAAATGACCCTGGTCCACAGGGCAAGGGCCTCACGTCTGAAGAAGTTGCAAACGCATACACCAATGTCTATAACTTGATTGAAGAACATTATGGGAAGTCATGAGGCTTAGACTCTGGGGCCTGAGTTATTTACATAGCAATGAAAACAGAAGGAGAATTAACGGAATCTGATCGATATTTAGACCATGATTGTCGTCAGTTTTGCAACTTCACAGCAGATGTGACCAAAAACACCAGATCGAACATAGGCAGTAGAAATGCATGAAACTCGTAATCCCAGTGGTTCGTCGAAGGCCGTTGCGCAATTCTGAAGTTGAATATTCTATTACTTGAAGGAAATTCAAAGCTTGAAGACTATTATTGTATCGAACAGTGTGTCAAAAAATAATTAAGGTAATTAATTGCATTTAATTAAATCAAGTAAATAATTAATTATAATTTAATTATCGACTTTTAAAAAAAATTAATTATTAGAAAAATTATAATTGAATATAATTAATTATTTCTAATTATTACGTGAAACCCATATAAAAGTTATATAAGTAATAAATTCCCTTCTTTTTCTTTAAATAATATATGACTAAAGCATAAAGAAAGTAAAGGTTAATTGATTTCCAAAGAAGAGAGAAGGAGAGCAAGGTAATATATATGTGAATTATTTGCTTTATATATCACATGACCGCATACATGTAAGGCACGTAATGGCAGGGTAATATACAAGTAGTCAAGGTAAGTAAGCTATAGAGTAACTCTTGCAAGTATAACTAATTCCAAGAATTAATTCTAATAAAAGACTAATTAATACCCCTTTCCAAAGCTAGGAACGTCTCCCTATATATTCCCTAGTACTTAGCCAAGCCTGCAAAGCACTTTACTTAACTAGGAAACACGATCTCATAGAATCCGTATAATTCCGATTATAAGCTTTACCTAAAATAGGAAACTAGATCTACAATATCTAATACCTATCTATATACCATTATATATACCTATTATATTAACCCTTCCTCTGGGCCCTTATTTCTAAGAGGCCTAAGAAAACTGCAAATAGCTTTATAAATAACTTCCTGAAACTTTCCCGGCCGCTAGTTCTCTTTAAAGACTTCCTATAATTACCTTATTATTATATTAGATAATAGAATTAAAGATATAGTTTACTAACCCTACCTAGTTAACTTGCAAATTACCTCTAGTAATTTCTTCTTATAAAGGTAATATAAATATAGTATATATTATTAAATATAAAGCTTTTCTAGTCTTTTAATTAGTTTATAAATCCTAATTTAGCCTCTATTTATAAATAAATTATTACTTTATAGGCCTAAGAGCTTGAAAAAGTTAATCCGATCTTCTGGTTTATTTATAAATTCTTTCTTTAAAATTTTCTAGGTATTTCTAATATAGAGCTAGTTCCGAATTTATAATTACTATTCGGGAAAAGAATATTATAAAAAGGCCTTTCTTTTTCTACTAACTAATCTTTCTTTTCCTTAATTATAATATTATATCTAGCTCTTTCTTATTTCTTGCCTTTCTTCTTTAAGCCTTCTTTAAGCTCTTTTAAGCTCTTTTAAGCTTTATTTAAGTTCTTTTCTAATTTCCTCTTTTACTTCTTTATTTACTTATTAGTTTATTACTATCCGTTTAGCTAATACTTTTATATTCTTGATTTGCTCTTATTATCTTTAATATTTCAAAAATATTACTAAGTTTCCCGACCTTACTTATATTAAAAGTAATAATTACTTAATATATAATTATTATTATTCTAAGAATAAGAAATATAATCTTATAAATTATAAATTTATTTTTTTTATTTTCTATTCTAATATTATTTAAGGTTTCTTAAGTATATATAATATAATTAAATTACCTTTTTTAAACTATTAATATATATAAATATTTTCTCTAATTTTTATCTAAAAGAAAAAAGGCTATTATTATTCTTTTTTTATACTAAACTATATATATTTCTTATATTAAAGCTATTACTTGAGGCTAATAAATTCTTCTAATAATCTAAGAAATAAATCAAGTAATTCTTATTAGCTTAATATAAGTATAAAGTACTCTTAATAATATAATTAATATTTTTTAATATTAAGTAAGCTTATTTCTTTTTTATTTCTTACTAATAGCTAATAGCTTTATAGGCTAATTTATTATCTATTTCTTGAGAGAATCCTAATAAAAATAATAATAAAAATAATAGAAAGTAGTTATAAAAGTAAAATATTTATAGGATATAGAAATTAGAGTTTTTAAAGTTTTTAATAATTATTATATAACTTTTTCAAGAATAAATATATAGTTTTTAATAGTTTCCTAACAAAAGTATTTATTTTTTATATCTTTATTTAGCTAATAGTATTATAATATTACTTTTTTCCAAGTATTCTTATAATTCTTAAACTATATTCTCCAGATTACTTAATAATTCCTATATATTATTTACTAGTAAATAGCTCTTTTAATAAATAAAATACTTTTTTTCTTTTTTACTCTTTTTATAAGCTATAATAGAATTTACTTCAGATTCTTTTTTATTCTTAATCTCGACCAGTTCTGGTTTTACTATAATACTAGCTTATAAATATTATAGTTTTAAGAAAGAAATATAGAAAATATTATAAATCTAATATAATAATAGTAATTCTAAATAATATATCTATTTATATATTTCTATAACTTTTAGAACTTTAAAAAAGCCGAGATATTTATTTACTAACTATATACTAGGTTATAGCTATTAAATATTCTTTATATAAAGCATAACTTTATTATATATATTAAACTTCTTATTAATATATTTCTTATTATAGTGCTTTTTTTATATATTTACTATTTCTTATTATTACTTTTCTAGTACTTCTTATTCTATTTAAATTCTCTATATTCTTTCCTATATTACTAGTAATCTTTTTTCTAAAATATTATTCTTAATATATAATTTAATACTAGAATAAAATTTATATAATATATAAAATAAAGAAATTCCTATTATTAAATATATGAAATTATTATATATAAATTCTATAAGAATAAGCTTTACTATCTAGTTATTTTACTAATAGCTAATATAATAACTTAAATACTATTTTAGAGTTTGGTTTAAATTCTTTATTTATCTATTAGTTTATAAATAAAATACTATATTTAATTATTATTAAATCTTTAAATAGAAATATAAACTTAATTAGAACTTATTTATAAAAATAAATTCTTTATTAGAGATTATACTTATAAGTATATTAAAGTCTTTAGTAATATAATATATAAATAGCTTTACTAATTCAGGAGCCACGATTTCCTTAGTAATTAGAATATATTATATTATTTTTATATATTTATTAATAATAATAAATATAGAATTATATATCTTATTATAAAACCTAGAAAGAGATAGCTTTATAATAAAGTCTATAATAATTTCGTATTATAGCTTAGAGAGGAAAGGAAATAAACTAAATATATTATATAATAAATATTTCTTTACTTTAGTTTATTAATATATAAAGCAAGTTCTAATATAATCTTTTATATTCTTTTTTATATTTTACTAGAAGTACTTTTTCTAGAGAATTTCTAATATTTTACTAGTACTAAAATACTTATTTATAGAATTATTATAATTAGCTTATAATAAACTTTTTTTAAAAGCCGGCTTATTTAATATATAAATAGTATTCTAATATCTTAATAATCTAGATATATTAAGTTTCTAAGTCTTAATAGCTTTAGTAAAGATCTCTTTTAAAAACTATTTATATTACTAGTATTATACTAATAAATCGAGTTTTTAGTACTATAATAATAATTCAAGTAATATTTCTTTATTTTTCTTATATATTATTTCGGACCTAGCTATTTATATAGCTAGAATTCGTAATATATATTATTTATAACTAGCTATACTAGTAATAGGCTCAAGTAGTAATATTTCTAGTATTATTTTATTACTAAAATAGATCTCCTTTTCGGAATTCTTTAGTATTTTACTAATTAAAAAATATCTATTTTCTTTCTTTTAGGCCTTAAATTATAGTATTATAGAAATAGTATAATATTTTATTACTACTATTTATAAGGCTCTCTATTTTATATTCTATAGCTTATTATAAAATATAAGTAATAAAATATCTTTATTTATATTTACTATAAAATCTAGCCTTTTTAATAGCCTATTAGTAAAATTATTATATTCTGGCTAGTATTTTAAAATAAAATTAAAGATAGCTAGCTCTTTTATCTATTTTATCTATTAATTATTTAGTTTTCTTTTAGTTATAAAATATTTTAAATTATTATAATTTATCTTAATAATAATAATATATCGGGTATATATTAGATAATATTACTAAGTATAGAATACTAGAATAATAGCTAAGAATTTAGAATTATATATTTTATATTTACTTTTAATTATAGTTATTTTCTTTAAATAGAAAATAATAGAATATTACCTGACTTCTATTTTCTTATTAAAAAACTAGGAAATTATATCTATAATTATAAATCCTAAAGTATTCATTTCTATATAAATTTTTAAGGCTAGATTAAAATAATAAAGAATTAGTACTATTATAAATATAATTTATAGCTTTTTAAAAGTCTTATTTACCTTATTTATCTAGCTAAAATAATATTATAGGTTTTTACTAGTTTTTAATAAATTAGTTAATCTTTTTACTACCTTAAAATATCTATAAATAAACCTCTAATAGAAATTAGTAAAATCCAGGAATACTTAGACTTTTCGGATATTATTTTTTGGAACTAGCTATTTCCTAATAATTATAACCCGGCTAGCTTCTATTTTCATATTATCTAGGCTAATTATAAACTTTAAGAACTTTATTCTCTTTATATTAAACTCGTATTTTGCCAAGTTTATAAAAAGCTAGTATTATTATAATTACCCGAGTATATATTAGACTATTATTATATATTATTTTAAGTTTTCTAAATAAATTAAAATATTATCTAAATAAATTATATAAATAATATTTATAAAACCTATTAGTATATAATTAATATATACCTGAAATATTACTAGAATATTAGATAATCTAAAAAATATAATATAATACTTAAAATATTTATAATATATTTAGAATACTATTTTTTACTTATTATTCTTTTATATTTATAACTAATAATAAGTATTTTTTAAATCTAGCTTTATATATATCTTTATTTTATAAAACCTATTTATTATCTTATTAATAAATAGTAATAGTATTTAGTTCTTAATAGCAATTCTATTTAGATTCCGGTAATTAATATATAAATATAGGCCGCCTTTTTTCTTTAAAATAAATATAATTAGAATACTAGTTAAACTAATAAAATAATAGATTTATTTCTTTTCTAGACTAGTATTAAGATATTCTTAAAGGACTTTAAGCTTTCTTTCTAATAAAATATATATAGAATTATATAATAATTAGAACTCTAGTTTCAGATTTATATAATACTTTATTATATAATAATTAGATAATATATTTATAGCCTTTATAAAAAATACTCGGAAAAGATTCTAATATTTCTTAAAAAATATAGTTATCTTATTAGTAGTAATAGTAGTAATTCTTTAGTTATTTATTATAGAATAAGTAATTAATAAAAAAATATATATTTTATATTTATTACTTTAGTAAACTTCCTAGTATTTAGAACTTTAATTTTCTATAATTAAATCTAGTATTTCTATATTATTTTCCTAAAGGAAATTAGAGAATTAACCTAGTAAAATTATAGGAATTCAAGTATTATATTAATATAATTAAAATTAAAATCATATAATATAAAATATATATTAGCTTTTTTTTAGTTCTTTAGTATATTCTTAATAATAATCCCAAGAATATAATCTTTATATAAATAAATTCTTTTTCTTCTAGTAAGAATAAAAGAATTACTTTTAATATTAATAAAATACTTATATCTAAAGCTAATTTCTTTTTTATATAATTGGCTTTTATATCTAAATTAACTAATATTCTAATATTTTATTTACTTTTCCTTATTTTAATAATAATCTTAATTATTATTCTCGTTTTAGGAACTTTGCCTTTTATAATATAAATAAGTATAACTATTATAGAATATATCTATTTCCCGACTTCTTTAGTTCTAGGTATTTATATAACTTATAACTAGACTTATTATAGTTATAATAAATTGGTTTCTTTTAATTAGGATAAGTAGTAATATAGTAATTCTTCTTTTAATAAGTAAAGTAAATTATATCCGGTTTTATAAATCCTAATATAAGTATTATATTAGATCCTATTATTATATCTTTATTATTTCGGTTTTATAAATCTTATAATAGAAATATATTTCTTTTTTATTTTCTTTTTCTTTTTTCTTATTTCTTTTTTTTTACTATTTTATTAGCTTATTATTATATTTCTATTAAGTAAATAAGTTTAAATTATTCTTAATTTTTATAGTAATAAAAATAAGTTTTTCTCTTTTTTATAAAATATTTCCTTAATAATTAATCTTATTTCTAATCTCTTATCTTAAATTACTAAATAAGTTATTTTATTCTTATAATAAATCCGTATATCCTAAGTTATCTAATAAGCTATCTAAATAAAATATAAAGCTTTAGATATTTTAGTTTAGCTATTATTTAGTATTTTTAAACTTAGTAAAAATATTATTATTATAGTTTTCCGGATCCAAGATAAAATTCTTTATAAACTTAATAAAAGTCTCCTAATCTATAATATTAATACTTACTAATTACTTCTTATATTTCTAGATATCTCTAGTTATATTTTTAAAATAGGAAATATAATATATAATCTTTATTATATTAGTAGTCTAAATAATCCCGCCGTTTTTATACTATTTTAACTTTATCTAATAAAAGAAGTCCAGGACTTCTTTAATACTTTTTTCCTAGTAAGTAGGTAGTTCTCGGGTTTTTAAAGTTCTCTAAATTAAGGATACTACCGGAAATATAATAGGTTCTATACCGGATATTTAAATGTTTTTAAGATAATAGATCTGAGCTTCTAGCTTCTCTAGATCTTTTCTTTATTATATTTCTACTTCTAACTTAGTAATATAATAGCAAGCCACTACTAATTTCTTTATTATTATTATTCTACTAGCTAGTTCTAGGAATATCTGAGTTCTATTTCCTTTTCCTAATTAGGTAATATAAAGAGTATTTAACTAGGTACTTTTCTAGATATCCGGTTAGGTTACTCTAATAGTAATAAAGGCACTTCTTCTAGTTAATATTCTAGCTATTAATATTTTTGCCTATTAATAGCTTAATTACCTCGTAATAAACTATTTCCCGAAGATTAGATTAATTAGAATATGAGATATATAATAGCAGGATAATATATAAGTAATTAAGGTAAGTAAGCTATAGAATAATACTTGTAAGTATAACTAATTCCAAGAATTAATTCTAATAAAAGACTAATTAATACCTCTTTCTAAAGCTAGAAGTATCTTCCTATATATTTCCTAGTATTTAGCCAAGCCTATAAAGTACTTTATTTAACTAGGAAATATAATCCTATATAATCCGTATAATTCTGATTATAAGCTTTACCCAAAATAGGAAACTAGATTCATGATATCTGATACCTGTCTATGCGCCATTACGTATACCCATTATAATACACGTGACTAGAGAAGTTAAAACCTCTATTATAGTACTTATTTATAAAGATAAGTAAAGCGAGTAAAGGCGGGATACTAGTTATTAAGCCTATAATAGTAAGGCGATATCTAAATTAGGGTAAAATACGCTTTACTTTTGCGCCATAACGCTTATATTATCTTTGTAGTTACGTGTAATAACACGTGACCCAGTAATTATTTTATTTAATTAAATTAAGCAAATAATTAATTATAATTTGATTACTATGATTCTGACTTAATTTAATTTGATTACCGGCCAATAATTATAATTAATTAAATTATTTGACACACTGGTGTCGAATGTCCCATGACTCTAGAAACAATCTCACAGGGTGGCCCCTCCTTTCTCCTCAATGTTCCTTGACCTATGGCACATTGGAGACTATTACTGCGCCACGAATTTTGAAAGTCCTACCTGGAGTTTGATTTGGATTAGAAGTTAGGGGAAAGATTGAGAGGCCCTGAAATTTGCGCTCCTATAACCTTCACGCCTCTCAACTACTTCCGCTAGTACTCCTGCAACTCAAATGTCCTTTTTACAAAACACCAACTCATTCTAGAAGATGAAATTCAATTAAAACCCGAAATATATGATAGAAATGCAACGTTGAGACTTGGTAGTGGGCCAAGAAATCACGCCTCTATACCCAGACTATCCATGACCATCGAAAGCAAGCCCCGGAATTGTTCTTGGCCCGGGAAGCAATCCGGAGTTCAATCACTTGTTGGATCTAGTAAAGGATAGTGGGGTTGGCCAGCAAAGGTGGCTGAATTTGACGAATATCCGCGATGGAAGTCGACGACGGCCAAGAAAAAATTGCCACTGCTAAGGATGCAGATAGAAAGAGGAGATTAGGATATAACCCTTTTGTAGGCTTGAGCGTTATCAATATCCTCAAGGAACTGACGGAATGGCAGGTGTTTCAGTCTATTTCGAATATTTATAAATATTTATAATTAGCTTAATTAATACATAATTATTATAATGCTTAAATAATTAAATCACATTAAAATATATAATTATGAATATGTATAAATACTTTGATTACTTACTATACACGTGACTGTGGCACGTGATTCTCTAGCATAATTGGGTATGACTCCCGATTTAGTATTATCTTTACAAGTCTTTCTATTTACTAATTAGGCAGCGAGTGGCGCCAAAGGCGCCACGAGCTTGCCGAGACTAGACTTCAAGCATTGGTGAAGACCCCTCAACTGTCGAAGACTTCTCAATACCCCCCGAACTACTATTACAGACCTTCTACTTGCGCGGCTACTCCCAGTTCAAGGCACGGCAGAACTCCCAGTCCAGCACATGGCACTTGTTAGCACCTACCCTAATTCTCTGAAGTTGACCGGGCCCATTTAAAAAGGGGTTGCCTCGAGGAACAAGCGAGCCCGTCTCTCCCGCTCATGACATTTGCATTCCTAGCCCAAACTCTTTTCCTCGCTTGCATGGCATTGTATCTTGACTTTGAACATCCCCAAGAACATATTCACCTCCAAGAGATCTGACTGCACAACTAAGTCAGTGGTTCCGTGGACAAACGTCGGACCGGTACAGAGGTCCCTCTCCCTCCTTCTTTACCCAAGCAATCTTCGATCTCGTCTTCAACTTCCACGACACCTTGGCTTTCTCGCCCAAATACAAGGACAAGGCATTTTTTAGGGAATTCTGCGGAAGAGAAACATGTAGCTGGTTACTTCAACAACATGTTTCTCTTGTTGCTGGTCTTCAAGATTTCCCCTCCCGAGCAAGAGAATATCATTTAAAGAACTGAGGTACCTATCTTCTGACTCTCCATATTTATCTCTAAGTCTGAACTACATCGCTACCCCTACTTACAATAATTAATACACACTAGCCAATTTTCTTCCTCAGAACACATCCTCTCTTCCTTCCCAAATCATTCATTCACCAAGCTCGCCTCCTTCAACAGCATCCCCGATGCCACAACCACTAATAATCAATCCAGTTACTATCGATGTAAAATCTTGCATGGGTATTTTCTCCCGCTCTCTAGGATAACAAGCATAGTATATTATAACGAGCTTTTCCGTTTCAAGGTATCTATCCATATACATATATATTACATTATAAGAGTAAATAACAGAGTACTCAAGGAAATAGCAATGAAACACAAATATTAACACAAAACCCATACGCCTAACGTCAATAAGCCACCAATTTTCTTGATAACGAACGCTCAGAATTGTAAAAAGAAACGGAAGGAAATTCTTCTCAGTGTTTGTTTGCTTGCCAAAAGCGTACCTAGATCCCTAGCGACTCTTCAACTCGGAAAGCCCCAATCACTCACTCCTATTATCCATCCCCAACTCCCCAACCCCCAAATGTGTTGGTAATTCGTTCGAACGATTCGGCTTTACTTTGGGAGGTATTGCTGACTGACTGATTGGTTGGTTGGTTGGTTTGTTGGTTTATTGATGGCAAGCACACTCAACCAGTCAGTCGAGTAATCCAAACTAAGAGACCCAAGGAAACCAGCAATCGGTTCAACGCTGGGAGTGCAGGGCAGCCCCTCGTCCTGCGCAAAAGCAATTGGATACCCATCACCTTCTCCCTCCACCCCCGGATAGAAATCGAGTGTTGTATCCAAAGCAGAGACGTGCTGGGCCAGCGGCGAATCTGTGCGTTGTGCGGTGGAGTGTGCTTTCTGTCGGCGGACTCGGCAGGGTCGGAAAACGCGAGGTCGTCGAGGTGTGGCTTGGGCTCGGGTTCTTAATACTGTTGATGGATCTGGAATGGGATTGTGTTCGTCTGGTGAAGGAGGAGCGTCGTTGCTGTTGAGTACTGTATAGGATTCAGAGACGTCTGGCAGCGGGAATTGTGGTGTGGCTTGGAACAGCGGTGCGGCTTGGGGCGTGAATGTGTATTGAATGGGTATGAGAGGGGAAGCGGGGTCGAAATTGGGGTTGAGGTTGATATCTGGGGTGGAAACTAATGACTGCTGTTAATAAGTGAACCTTGACATTTATGGAAGAGGGGCCGAGAGTGTGGAGTTGACTCACAGTAGTTAGAAGACGCCAGAGACTGCGTGGGCGCGATTCGAAATTCACATGGTACAGTATAAGTGGTGCACACTATAAACTGTGTTATTGAGGAGAACCAAAGAGACTTGAAGAACTGGGCTTGGATATACCTCCTCCGCCATGGACATTGTTCAAATGCCTCGTTAGCCTTCCGTTCCTTTTGGCGATCCACCGGCAGCCGGGGATACGGCAGTGTAGGGGAGGGCCATGTTTCTCTCTTACATGTCGTAGTCTGTCGAAATCCCGACCGAATGTTACCGTGCAGCCGGAGAGTTCACACCTGATCTTTTGACCCCCTTTGACTTGTCGTTTGGTTGGCTTGGCCATGGTATTCGGTGGCGACGGCTGAGGCAGATTAGATTGAGCGAGGATGGCACAGTAATATAAATGGTGGTCGTAAGTAAGTCTTTACTTGGTGTGTGGTAAAGACAGCGAATGTTGGTGGTCGACGAAGGAGAGAGTTTGGTGTTTGCTTCTGCTTGGGGAGGGTGATGATATGTTAAATATGGCATCCGAGATACACTCGAGTCCGCGTGCCGATAGCCCTATTACTGAGTCAAGTCTCATGTCAGTTGTTTGTCAACCTTCTGCCATCGCTGTTGCTTCCGTCTGAACAAAAACAAAAACGAGCAAGTGGTAATTGTGTATTGCGGTGTTGGGAGGTGGAAGCGTGGTGATCGCCAGACCGCGACCAGCCTCTTCAAGCATTGACCTATCATGCAGGCTACGCACCAGCCAGAGCTAAGAGAGCTGAGGGGGAACGGCTCCATGATCCGACGAGACACCCCAGTCTCATTGCTTCCAACAGCCCTGCAACATTGCATCGTGGGGGAATACATCTGTTGGCCCCCGGTGTCTACCAGCCCCATTCCATGCGAGACCTCCACGACTGTTTCAGGCTGCTGGTTCAGTCAAACACGCTCCTGGTTCCCAATTCCATTGTAATCTGCCTGGTGACCGGACCAGTGACGGCTTTCCCGGTTTTTTTGCGCTCCACACGCGGGAAATTTGGAGCTTGCCACCGATCCCGGGCGATATCTTATTACTCAAGCCTGACCTCTGTGCTTCTGATGTCACCATCTACTTTGAGATCCGTTGAATTCCATCAGGTTGCTGAGAAGACTGCGTCATGATAGATGAGAAATCGTTGAGAAACTATAAAATACGGCAGTAGAAAGGCTACTCCCGGATCTCCAGCGCGTTCAAACCAGCCATTCAGGGAGCCAACGCCTTCCTCGTATTACTACAGAGAGCTTCAGCACGGCCAGGCAACCTCGCACATGTGAAATTTGGGACGGGGAAGCGTTCGATGGGTCCCGGGCCCAGGGGGGTGGGTGAGGAACAATGTCCCAAGCAGCTGGAAGATCCAAACTGGGACCTCGTGGAAGGGGACAACCCTGCCGGGCAACCCAAACCTGTGTGCCGCACGCCCGGCAATCTCGGGGAGTTCGGTGGTTGAACGATCAGCCCCTCAGGTGCCGAAAGTGTAGACCGAGATGGAGGCTGCATCGTTCTGATGGTCCGATGAGAGCATGCCGACTGGGTAGATTTGGACTTTACACGGGAAGATATCTTCGGGGAGCCGGATCGCATCCTGCCGGGGCCTTGTTTACCTTGCTTAGGTTGTATTTCGTTGTTTTCCTGCCATGGAGATGGGTTCAGGGGCAAAAGCAAATTTTGAACGGCCCCGTACGTACTGTAGAGGCAAAGCAAGAAGCGATCTCAATCGCTGTGCCAGATCGAAAAGGTAACTCTTCGCATCAACCGTTGCTGCTGCCGATTCACAACAGTGTTGACAGTCAAAGGAGCGTTGAACTTAGCAACCCATTGTGATTCAAACATGATAACTGGCATATTGAAGAAAGCCCTCTTCCTCCGCGGACCTTGTATAGCAGCAGAAAATGGCATTTGGTCTGCAACAAATCACTTATCATAGATTCGTTCATGTGCTGAAGGTCGAGTGAATCTATCTAAGTTGTGATTTCCAAGTGAACTGGTAACTCTAGCTCCAGGTGTATGGCCTCCTTGCTCCCAAGGTTCCAGCATTCAACCCATCCACCCCCAATCCGTATATTCAGGCCCATTACCAGGATGTTCAACTTATCTCTGCAAGCAGAGGCTGTGGAAATTGACAGCGAAGCTCTTGCAGAGCGCTGTCATCTACAAGGCCGTAGCGCTGCTATTCGTGCGATCAATGGAGCACCTCCCTATACCCATTTCTCCAATTCCATGATGTATAACGGCTTGTATTCGTCTCTTTGATGGCAGACCCTGCCATTGTATGTGCTCTCGACCGATGCCAGAACCGTCGCAGGGACGATGTCGATGTTTCAGGTAGATAACACCTTTCGTGATCGCTCTCGAATCTCGTGAACGCACAGAACAGAGTCGAAGAAGGCCTTCGTGTTCAACGTAACGAATCTTGTAGACACAGATCATTAGTTCTTGTAACAGTCAAGAAAAGAGACATCGACAAACTACTGCCTTGGTGGAACTTCTTGACAAGACAGCAGGAGCCGGATCGGAAGTAGAGAGAAGGTAGCGCCACTTGCTTAAGAGCGAGCGAGGGAGGGAGAGAGTGGGTTCTGGGCAGCAGCCAGCGTCTTTGGCTCCCTGGCGGAGCAACGACGAGGTAATGGCAAACGTGGCAGATTGGCTTACCTGTCTCTCGACTTGTGTTCTTGGTCCCCAACAAAAGTAGCCATTCGGCCAAACGAAAGAGACAAAGAAACGGGGTATAGTATGTGTCGATATGTTCGTTTGGGTGCCATATTCCCTCTTGGCAGGTAGCCGGAGCGTGAAGTGATCTCCGCGACGATGAACTGAGCTGCGAAAATGCAAGATCATGCAGCGGTCGCGACGATGACGAGTTGAGTAGGGGGAACCGCTAGGGCCAAGATCACAGAGTATGTTCCTGCAACGGTCGCCGAAGGGAGGTGCCAAATCTGCTCCTCTTGATCAGGAGTAGCATTCGTTTGCACCGCGTGGTCTTGAATTTGGACGAGGTAGTCTGCGAAGTAAGAGTAGAGATTGAATCTGCACTAAGACTCCCTTGATTTATCCCGACCCGGGGAAAGATTCGCAGTTCGGAGCGCTGTGTAACCAACGTCTCGATCAGGGGGTGCCACACCATGGCCCGGTTCCTGCCTTTCGTCCACTTGGCGATAACACTGTCCCACGTTCAAATGATTCAAGAGCTTGGAAAGTTGGATGGAACTTGATTCCTCGCAGCCCTTAAGTGTGCTAAAGGGGCTTACGATTGGTTCTTGATGGAGAGGATTAATAACAATTCCAGGACCAGGCTTGTGGAGTGCATGGTGGGACAACCTGAACTGTCATCCGGCTGGCCAGCGATCTCCAGCCCCCAACTTCCCCACTCGGATAATTTCAAGCCGTACCTCATAATATCTGTTACTATAGAACGACTTGGAATGGTAGCATCGTTGATCAGCGCAAGTGTTTGCTGTCGTGATGCCTTCTGCATACCGTGCTGGAAGCGTAGACGTGTAAGATATTGAATGGCATCTGTTGACGGAACATGTCCGCCAGTACAGTTCTTGCAATAACCTATCTGATTTAACGGAACGTATGTCTTCCATGAATCGGATTTTAAGCTGGAACCATGCAGCCATTACCAACAGGGTGTGGAATCTCTGGTGGTGGGTCAGGATTCCAATAGGTTGGGACGACATGTGAGCGGACACTATCTGGCTTATACCTCTTGACGAGCCGTGTTTGGCCAGAATATACTTACGAACCAAAGTGCACCGATTGGATTTTTCCTAGCGGGCGAGTTGTTAGCGGTATTATACCACGCTGAAATGGCCTATAAGCAGCCACTGCACAAGCAGCAGCACTAGAACGAGCAATGAGTCCCGTCTTTAATAGCTCAGCGAGTTTTCAATGTTCATGCAAAGGCCGCTGAGATTTGTTCTGCTTGCATGGTTGTCTCAATGAGGGCGGCACCCGAATGATCAGCCGAAACTCACCCACATTCCTCACACCCCTCACACCCCCCACACCCTTCTTTAAATCAAAAACCCCGAATGGAGCAACACTTGAATTGCAGGGAATAGGCCTCCCTTATCCGCCATCTCTAGCTGATGAAATAAATGCCGTTTACGCAAGAGTTTTTGCGTATTCGGGAAGCAAGCAGGATGGACGGGATGAGAACGCCACTACTCATGACGTGACTACGGTCAAATTCGGCTGCCAGGGTTCCCATGTAGTTATATTGGGAGTGAATGAGGCAACTTGCCGCTAAGGTTAGGCAGACTGTGTGGCTTCCAGCCGCTTCCTCTTCCTCTTACCGGAAGGACATGTGGATTCTGGAATGGCTGCCTTGGGGCAATGCAATTTATTTCCTGTAGCGGACCACATTTTTGAAGTGAGACGACGAAGCCTTGGATCGTAGGTGGCAAGGAAAATGCATGGGCTAGAACTAGCATATTGCAAGGGGGTTGAAGCAGATAGGCGTCGAGGTAGAATTCCGGCCAATATGTCGTATACCAAGCCGCACCTGTGCATGTGGGATGATCCCGCAGTTGAAGTCGGGCGAACCCCCTCGCTCGTGCGTCTGCCATTCGATAGGGGATGCAGGCCAGCAGCACGATGTGGTGGGGTGACTTCGTGCCACTTCCGCGCCAGTGTTTATCTCTGTGCAAAGTTTCCCGACGCGATCTCGTTCTCTGGGGTCTGGTTGGCTCTCGGGCGACGCGACGAGCAGAGAACGGCCGAGGAGGCAGCAGCAAGGCAGAATGCAAGCCGGGTACGGAGTAGAGACAAACAGGATGGGTCTGGTGACGACGCGCGATTTTCGCGACGCGTCAATGAGAAAAGGGGGGAGGGGGGGGGAAGGGGTAGGGGGGGAGCGGCGAAGGAGAGAGGAGGGGGGTAAATTCTGGTTGCTGAGCTGAACCGAGCTGTCGTGTGATTTCGCGTTTCGCGCGATTTTTCGTGCGCGGCCTGTCGCGTCGGCCGCAACCCGAGACCCAACTAATCAGAGAGCAGGGCGTGGCGTTGGCGTGCAGCAGCGTCGAGGTTGCTCGGAGAAGTTTACCCGTTAGGAAGGAACTACCGTAGTACTACTCCGGACTGCGTTGTCTGCTGAATGCTGCTAGTGCTGCCTTCCCAGCTTCCCCTCTATGCGGCCTGCCACAATTCAGCCATTCCACCCAGTGCAGGCTGGAAACTAAGGGCTTCCATGCTCTTGGGCTATAGTTGGTCTGATCTAAACCCGATAAAATAGTTGCCCTTTTATACCTATAATAACTTTTTAATAGTAAATATTGCAATTATAAAATAAAATCAATTAAAAAACAAAAATTAAAAAAAGAACTATTAATTAGATTTTTAATATAATTCGTTATTAATTAATATTCGAATTTTAAAATATAAAAATCTTTTTTACTTTTTTACTTTTTATATTTTTATTATATTAAATAAGAAAATCTATATTTATTAAAATTATATAAACTTGTATTTAATAAAAATATTATAAAAATTTATTTAGTTTAATATTAATATATTAATAATAATTAGTATTAGTTTACTAGTAATATATGGCACTATTATATAGGTATAGAAATACTAGTTACATTAGTTAGTAAAGTCGTTATTATTTAGAAGTAGGGATTATAGTATTATAGTATTAATATGCGATCCCTAAATCTGCTAAGCCTAAAGGGGTCTAGTCTACTAGTCGAGTTACTAATGAGATGCGAGGTTATATAACTATATCCCGTATCTTATATTTTATTACTTATATTCCATTACTCATATCCTATTACCTATATCCCATATCTCGTATCCCGTAACTATATATATAACTCTCAAAGAAATAGCTATACTAATACTAGAAACTCTCTAAAAACGCGAAAAATAGTATCTCCTTCTAATTATATATAAATTCCCTAATCCGGCCTAGTACCAGATTTCCCAAATACTTTATATATTTATATTACTTCTAAGGTTTTGGTTATATACTAAAGGCTATAGTCTTTTATATATAACTTCCTCTCTTATAATATTCTCTCATTCTATATATTTATTTCCCGCCCTATTTATACTTAACCTATTTCTCTATATCTAATTATATAGTATTTGTATTAATTAGGTATTTGAGGGCGTTTATTAGTTTTGATTTTATTATAGAATTAGTAGGATTTAATTCTCTCTTAATCTATTTAACTTCTATAATCTCTTATTATTTATATATTTACTAGAGATATATTATATTAATTATTAGATGCTTTTCTCGAGTAGTTCCTAATTTAATAAGGCATTCATATAACGACTTTGAATCCGTATAAACTACTAGTAATAGTTCTATTTCTAATACTTTATTAATTATAGATATAACTAAAGTACCTATATTAAAATTATAAGCTATACTATAGAGTTCTAAAGCTAGAATACTTCTAGTAACTCTCTTATATTTAGTAGAGAACTAGTAGATAATATTAGTATATCTAGTTTCGTTTACTAGAACTAGAATATATCTAATTTGGGAGAAAAAATCTCTATTATTTATAAATAAAGTATTCGTAAAAATAATTAAATATAAGAACTTTTTTACTAGCTTTATAAATTTTAGTTCTCTAATAGTATTTTCAATTTGCTATTAAATATACTTATTAAATATTTTTATATTAGTTTCTAAGGGTTTAATAGCCTAGGCTATAATTAATAGGTTATATAAAGCTTCTAGTTAATAGACTAATATAATATATACTTCTCTAATATATTAGGTAATATATTAGTTCTTAATAAAGAGATCTTAATAAATAGTACTCTTATTACTTATAGTAGTAATATTTTTATAGAAATAATTCGGAGGTTTTTATACTAGTATTCTTATATAAGAGTAATTCTAGTAATATTTATATAAATAATACCTTTATTAAACTTAAGATTATAGTTAATAATAAGGCATTTATACTTTTTAGCTAAGAACTTAGTCTTATAGAGCTTTAGTTATTTTATTTTTATAAAATTATTAGTTTTAATAAATAGGATATTATTAGTTTAAAGGCTAATAATTTCGAAGAATTACTTACTATAGAGAAGGCAAGAGTTATAAGTTAACTATTTTATAAAAAGCTTATTAATATAGTAAGAATAATAAGTTTTAAACTAGTAGTTCCTAGCTTCCGGTATATTATATAGTAGTTTTATAACTTTTAGAACCAAATTATTATTTAGATTTAGCTCTCTAATAAGCTTATAAGATAAGTTAATATAAAAATTATAATTAAGCAAAATTATTAATTAGATATAAGCTTATAAGATATTATATAAATATAGTTCTATAATATTTATTATTATAATAGTAATACTAAAAATAATTCTCTAGCTAATATATTAAATAATAAGTAATTATATTAATACTATATATTTCTTACTATTATTATAAGTCTAGATAACTAGTCTCGATTTCTTAAACTCTCTCTTTATATCCTTATTCTTAATCTTATTAATAAACCAAGAATTAAAAATATATATTTCTTTTAGTATCTAAAATCTAGAAATAATCTTAAATATATCTTTTTCTAGAAAGCTAGTAACTTTAACTTAATAAGAGTTCTTATATAAGTTATTATCCTATAGAAATACTATAATATCCGGATTCTTATAAAAGTATTCTCTATTATACTTTAGTAAAATAGCGGGAATAATAGGAGGAATTATATCTATATTATTTTTAGTCTTATTATAGAGTTCGGGAATAGGTTCAGGTTCGAGGCTATTAGTAATAATCTTAATATCTCTTATATAAAAGGGCTTTATAGAAATTAAGTAAAAGATGGTATTATTATATAATAGAGCTAGTATATAGTTCTTTCTATTAATAGCTACTAAGTTATATAACTTATCCTAATTACTAGATTAACTAGTATTTCCTTTATATTATATAAGAATATTCGAATTTAAAAGAAGTTTATAGATATTAGTAATACTAGAACTATTTCGGGTATTTAGGGTATTTGTAATCTGGTATCTAGCTTAAAGCTTTTGAATTTCTACTATTATTTTTTTTAAGTACTACTAATTACTATAATATAGTTAGTAATAAGATATTATATTTAGTTATTTAAAATAAAGTACTATAAATTAAAAGAATTAGGATAATACTATCGGGTCTAGTAAAATTATTAATAGCCTTAAAAGCTATTTAAAGTATAATATTCTTATTAATTCTATTAATTTCGGCTATAATAATAAGATAAGTATATTAAATCGGGCTATAGTAATATTTTATAATTCTAATAGAACTATAAGTTTTTATAAGAACGATTTTAACCTTAGTTCCTATAGTATTTATAAGCTAAATAAACTTCTTACTAATAAACTACTTTCTGGTATTTACTATAATCTAATTAGGAGAGCCTAAATAAATATTAATCTAATACTACTTTAGGGTATCCCAAGTATATAATATACTAATATTTTAAAGCTATTAGCTAGCTTAATATCTAGTATCTTTATTAATAATATAAAATATAGGCTTATTAGAAATATAGAAAATATTAATAATAATAAAGTAATTAAAGCTAATATTATTTCTTAGATTAAACTTAAATTATTCCGGTAATTATCCGAATTTCTAGTATTATTTATAGTATTTTATAAGATACTTAAGGGCTTCTATATTAATATTATAGCCTGCTTATTCTAGTATATTTTAAAGCTTACTAATAAATAAATAACTAAAATAGTAGTATAGATATTATAATTTGATTTTTATAAGAAAGCAGGAGTTATAAGTAAAGAATTCGGAAATAAAGCTTTATAGAATAGTATTTCAAAACAAAAAAGAGTATTTAAAACATTATATTATAGATATAAAGTATTTATTAGAAATAATGAGATAATTAGTAAAATTATTAAAGTAAACTTCTAGCTTATTTATATTAGTTAAGCTAAGTAAAAATAAAGTTTTTATAAATATAATATGAAATTATACTTGCCTAATTAGTATTCTTATTATTATAGATCTAATAGAAAATATAGATCTAATACTAAACTAGATATTAATTTAATCTTTAGTAGTTTTATTAAGTTAAATATTACTATTAGTTTATTATAAAGCTTGAAATTAGTTAGAACTAATAGTTAAGAATCTAGAGACTCCGGTATTAATTATAACTTTATAAAAGTAGTAAGTATTATATC